AAAGACAAAGGAAAATCTATCATGTGCCTCTAACATAGTAATTCCATCACCAAAGATGTAACTTGGAAGCTAGAACTAGCCTGCCAAAGGGTCCAGTTTGGCTTAGTGTTTCTGGTAGGCCCTACAATTTATGATTTTTATAAAATCTTGGTTATGGCTGAGGGGAAATTTTCAGAATGTGCCCATTTACTCTTTAAGAGAAAAATATTGAGTGGATGGTGTTCTATCATAGGGCTGTTCGATATAACGATATATATTGGATGACGATATAAAAACGTCTATCGTTTCATTTTACGCTATTGTTTGTTTCGTGGTGTCGCAAAATAAACAGTTTACGGCATTATTTTTTCATCGTTTTGATGGTCACTGTGGTGGCTATATTAATTTCTTAAAGTTCTCTCTTTCTCTTATATTTAATATAACCACACTACGGACGGACAAGTGCCTGTTTTTATGCGTTGTCGTTAGCAACAACCGCGGTAAAACCATCGCGTGTCCGCTTGTTTATTTCCCACATAAACCTTTCACAATAAAGCTCAAGATCCTGTTGAGACTTTTCAAAATAAACTGAATCACGTGAAAGAGTATGGAGAGTATTTACGGATGAGAAGCAAAAAAGAGCCGTCAGGTGCTAAAAAATAAACCTTAGACTCAAACGTTAGAACAGGCTATTCCCCGCAGCACGCTGTGTAATAAATACTCACAAAGAAAATGGCGGCCGTTACAACTTATGTCTAAAAATGTATAGTTTCATGCATCTGTTAAAACACTCGACTCCAGGTACATGACGCCCAGCCGGAAACACTTCACGCAAGTCGAGCTGCCCGAGATTCACAGAATTTACAGAAAATGTTACATTTTTGTGATTTATATTGTTATCGGGACAATAGATGTCTTATATCGGGATATGAGATTTTGGTCATATTGCACAGCTCTATTCTATCATATATTATTTTACAATGGGTTTTATCACCTGGCGCAATAAAGCAAGTTAGACACTCTTGACTTGCACAGATATGGATATTTTTTCCACAACTAAAGCTCAGGAAGATGATCTCAATTCCTGCTCATGACCTTCTATCTCACACTGAGATGCCTTAACATTTTATCCCTGCCTGAGGTGCTAATTACCAAGCCCAGACTGCAGCTCCTCTCACTCTTCCCATCTCCCTATATTCTACTCAGCACATGAGCAGACATGTCTTTGTCTGTGTGCCACATCGCTGCCAATGATGCTATGTTGGGTGCATGATTTCTCTGTGGAATCACTACTCACAGCGAGCAGAACGCAAATATACAAACTCCTTGGATCTCCGTGTATGTACTGTGGGCCAAAGGTGGCAGTCTAAGCTTTTCTAAGGTCACATCGGGCAGGGGTAGGCAGCAGAGGTGGTCGATCAATAAATTTGTGCTTCAGGCCTCAGGGGAGCTTAGAAACCTTTAACCATTTATTGATTAATCTTGACAGGTTACCGAGGGGAGAAACATTTACTAAATTTAACCATTTAAACTGAATCCTGTAGTCAATACACATCCTTCCCTGGAAGTAAACAGTCTACAACCACAACAAAGGACATTTGTCTCAGGCTTTTTTGTTTTTTAACCATTTTAAAAATATCAGTGTCTTTTGCTTTGGGACAGGTGAACGAATGAAGCTCAAATGTAGCCAGCTCACACCAACACCATTTGTCGGGGTATTTGGCATTATAACTTGCACTCATGTGATTAGGTATCAGAATAACGAGCTGCCAGAACCCCTTTGCTAAATGCATTCACTGCACAGAAATATGAGCAGGTTGTGGTCGTACTGGGCAGCTGTTCAAGAGCGCAGACTACAAAGCAATTTCAGCATACCCGGGATATCTTTTTCTTATCTGGCTTCTGCATGAGCTTGTTAGGTCTGCAGCGCAAGTTACCAATGGAAATGGTAACCTGCCCTGAAAATCCTAAGCACCACATCCTGCTCTGTAGTAAGAGCCACATGAGTATGAAACGCGTCTGATCACATGATGGCAACAAACAAACCACAGCGCAGAAATCCCTAAGTTTCAAATCTGAAAGCTGTGCTGGAAACTTACAGTTCATCTCTCTGACGTTGTGACAGCACCATCGTGACGGGGCAGTGTGGGCGGAGCCGGATTTTATTTATCTTTAAAAAAAAAAGAAAAAAAAAAAAGAAGAAGAAGGTGATTCCTGTGCAGCCGCTGCGCTCTCCTCGGTCAGGAGATGAGCTGTGCTGATCCAAGCAACACAGATTAGGTCAGGTGGTGTACTCCAATGACAGGTTAGTTTTGCCCAGACTAAGACTCAGATTAAGAGAAGAGGGTCGCAGGAATCTGCCCCCCGAAAGCTGGCTGACTCCGGGGAGAAGAAATGGAGAGCCTGCAGACCAGTCACCAGCTGAGTGTATGCTGCATCTGCAGGGGAGAGAAAAAGAGAAAGTCAGCATTAGGTATGCATGACAGATAACATGTAGAGTGTGCTGCACCAGTTTAGCAAAGACACTGTCAGCGATGATGGAAAAAACTGAACAATAAAGCAAAAAATCATTCCATAAACTGCTCATTCATTCGATTTTTTTTTATTTGTTTACTTTTAAATATTTTCATCCACTTCTGTTATCTGTCTGCACATTCTGTCATGACACAACTCTCGTTTGGTCTTGAAGCAAATGCCTCTCCGTTCACATACAAGAGCTGACCCACATTCTCCTCCCAGGTTGCCAACAGAAAAGAAAAACAGGACATGGCAGAGCGAGTATGAGTAACGGCTGTGCTCAAACTCCCCTGTCCCCATCATCTCGTTATCACCTCAGGAGCTGACTTGGCTGATGGCATGCATGAAAAAAAAAAAAAAAAAAAAAACACCCATCAGTGGTAGTGGGAAAATAAATGTATTGTCAGGGTTAAAGTATTTATTTGAGGAATAATAAATGTCAATGAAATGTTAAGAATGTCACGATGAAGACTATTTCTATACTGCATCATTGTCTTGAAAAAGCACTTTAACAAACCAGGTACCCAACAGAGTAAGCCTCTTAATCTACTGGGACTAGCCTCAGTAAATCTCTGCCAGAGCACTAAACAAAAGGTACAAACTAAGCCAAATTACTTCAACACCTGCAAAAAGCTGACAAAATTACAGCAAGGCAGACTTCCAGACACAGGAAACAATGTAAAGTAGACATGAGATTTGCTGCCTGGGAAACAGGCAGTAAAAGAAACCGTTATTTGGCTACAGAAGAGATGAGGAATAGAAACACCCCAGGAAGCTACAATGAAGAAAAAAAAAAAGCACATTGCTGATTTTAGATGCAGGAGTTGCATTACCACAAGGAAAAGAGTCCTCCTATGCACTGTGTTTCTGTTTGCAGAAAAAAGGAGACAAGCTAAATAATTCTAGTTGGTCAGATGTAGGACTGACCAACCTGTTAAAGTACTACTTTGTATTGCTTGCTTATTCATTTATTCATATTCATATGTTGTAGAGAAACTGATTAACAGTACACAGCCTAACGTGACCAGCAGCTAACCTCTGGACCTTGATGTCACCACCTGACAGCAGTCCAAATGTCTACTTACCCCTGACTGTGTGTGCCTTACGGCGTGCTGGCTGCTGCCCAAAAACACTATCAGAGCGCAGCAAAAATATTCTAACGAGCAGGCACTGAAGCTAAAAATGTCTCCCTCACTCCCTCCATATAAAAAAAAAAACAAAAAACTACCACACAAAATAGGCACCAAATGCATCAACCTTCACAACTGCCATTGTGTGTGAAAATCAGGTCATCTGCCACATATTGATACGTCTCTCTGCATTGCTGGCAGGTCTCATCGCTGTGTGTATCCATTAATGTGTAGGACTCCCTTCTCTGAAAAACTCATTTGCGGCTTCAGCATCGAGCAAAAATGTTTGCACAATAGCACAATCAGGCTAATTGGCTCAGCACAAAATGTTGTGCCTCGATGGAAAGGGAGGGGTATGAGCCGCAGCCAGGAGTGCATCTATAAATCTGCTCAAAGGCAGTCAATAATGGTAATGCGTCTTCCTCCCAGTGATTGTCTTGTCTTTGTGCAGGACCAGGAACTGTACAACGACAGAGCCCTTTACATTAATGATGCTGACTGGGAGATGTGTTCAATTTGCTTATGAGTCCCAACAGATTATCTGATGTTAGGAGACCAATTCATACATACTAAATGAACACCGTGTACTGTACATACTCTGCATCTTTTGTGGTTAAGAATGCAACAACAGCAGTCAAATGTAATGAATCCTTCCCAATCAGGGTTTTTACTCATTAATAAAAATAAATAAATAAAATATTGGGGGCCCTCCAGTTATTTTAGCCAGCTACATTCATTAGCTCAGACACACAAATTGGTACTAAAATAATGGACTAAAACAAAATACTAAAATTCACTCACCATAAGTAAAATGTACTTCCAGAACAGTCTGCATCACACCTCAGACCATAAAATTACTCAGATAATCCATTAAAATGCTCCAAAAGTCTCCTAAATAACTACCTTGGTAGATGAGTTACAGTAAAAATGACCCCACTCAGAGTTATCAAGGGTAAACTGTCAACAGAGGACAAACTCATTTTTGAACCAGGCTGCAAAAATGCTTTTTAAAGCTGTTAAGTTGGGTGTTTTAACATGTGAGTGTATGGGTGCTTAACTTTCTTCTGGAGGCAGCTTCAAGTGGCCATTAGAAGCACTGCAGTTTACTGCACTTTTGCTTCTGCTTCATTTTTTAGCTCCAGAGTTTGCCTCTTGGCTGTTACCTCTGAGACCTCTCAGACTAGAGTTGGATGTCTAGAGACTTTTACGCGGTCTTGGTCTTGTCTTGGTCTCGAAAGACTTTGGTCTTGGTCTTGTCTTGGTCTCGGATCCCTCGGTCTTGTCTTGGTCTCGCTGTCTCGGTCTTGCTGTCTCAGATCGACATAGTGGTCGGGAAATTTGGAGTCAACAGTATCCATGACACACAACGTAACGTTCGATAATGTGTCATGCGCAAAAGCATCAGCTCTAAGAGCCGTGCTTAGAGAGTGATTTGTAGTGAATCAGAAAAGTCAACTCCCATTGAGCGAGAGCCGGCTCCTCACTTAATTTCCTTTCGCTGCTCAGCTCTCACACAGTGGCTCAGCTATGCTCCAATCCCTCCATATTGTGGCCAATCACATCCGAGGATATAGGATAATATCATTATGTGAAAAACAGAGAGGGTGAGAGACGCAACAGTCAAGTGGAGCGCGCGTCTGTCCTCTCAGTTATTGAGTGACAGTAGACAGCGGTGAGGAGGGCTGTGCGAGTGCATCGCAAAAACACATAAATATGCCTGACACCCGTAAACAAAGCAGCATCTGGCTGCAGTTTAAAGACTTTTTTGTCTCGGTCTTGGTCTCGTCTCGATTTTGTCTTGACTCTTTCTGTCTTGGTCTCGATACCCTCTGGTCTTGATATTGTCTTGGTTAGGGCTGGGCTATATCATACCGTTCACGGTAATACCGGTGTAATTTTGGGCAACGATAAGAAAATGAAATATCGCGATAGAATATGGGTAAAACGCGCATGCGCACTGCCTATGTATACATATGCACATGGCGGCGACGCACAATGAGAAGAGCGAAAGCGGATCGTTAAATGAAACGGATGAACCAGAACTGGTTTGTTAAAATGCTGCAACTTCAGTGGTGTGGAACTGGTTTAGCTTTCGTCCATCAGATACACAACAAAGCACTATTTTTGGTAGAGCATGCTAGCGGGCCGTTGTTATTACCGTGTTGTTTGGAAAATATGGCACACTTAAAATCAATCCTTTGATTTTTCTGAAAATCGACAGTGCCCCTTATAATCCCGTGTGCCTTATGTATGAATTCTGGTTGTGTTTACTGACCTCGAAACGATTTTATGTACACGGCGCTCGAAAATCTGTCAGATGTTTCAGTACGACTTTGCTAAGCTACGAAGCCACACCGCTTGATGGATTGTCAGAGCATTACGGCTCCGACAGTACGTATCACCTCGCGGAGTGATACGTACTGTGCTTCAACATAATATTACGGTATTGTGTGTGTATAACCTCTTTTTAAGTTTTGTGGATATTACACATGGTTATGCTGAGGATATGTCAACCAGTTTCCACTGGAAATGCCTTTTGGTTAAACTGTCAGCAAGGAATTTGCACTGTTACATTTTTATGTAACTTTAATGCACATACAAAAAACAGCTGCTTGTTTAAGTTGTGGAGTTGTACAGTATTTTGTCTAGTGTCAATTATATCGTCAGTTATATCGTTATCGCAAATTTTCAAATGTATATCGTGATAAATATTTTTGGTCATATCGCCCTGCCCTAGTCTTGGTCTTGGTTTAGGCGGTCTTGACTACAAGTCTATCTCAGACAAACATTTGCGCACAAGCTGCATTTAAGCAGATAACCCAAGGCTGGTCTCTACACACTTAAAAAAAAAAAAAAGGTGGGCCACCTGACTGATAATTTGAATCCAAACAATTAAAATGTGCAACAATTGTTTAAAAATACCTGAGGAAAAATGTCAACAAAAAAAGAAAAGAAAAAGACTCAAAGAAAACAACGTAGACGACGACAAATCCCCAAACTAATTCGATATCTAGTCCTGACACGTCACCATAACACTATGACTTAACTTTATGCTACCAGCCAAATATTACAGACGAGGTATGCACAAACTTTTTGACTACCCATCCCATGGTGTCTGAACAAAGGAATAAGCTGCTATGGCGTGCAGAGAAGAGAAACAAAAATACCACAGTCTAAAGTCACATGTGAAATAGTGTTCCAGTAACTAGTCACAAAATATTGCAGCAATGCTGACAAAGCTGACTGTCGCAAACCCACTGCTACATTGGATTCACAGCTCTCTGGTTGTGACGTTATGTCGTCATCATCCCAACACTTAAACGCTGACACATTTAGCTACTGAAGCAGATATAATATGATGTTTTCAAGACTTGGGTTTCAACAGAGCAATAAACATAATATATTTAACAGCTAATGTGCACATATTAGAGGCTTATCACACAGGCAGTAATTTAGATGTCGACATACTTTGGCTAATTTAACATACAAAGTGATAAAATTAGGAAATACGCTGTGGAGACGACTGCTTCCTGACAAGACTAAATAGAGGTTTTTCAAAATCAGATAACTAAAGAAATCTCAAGCTTGATGACACACAATGGAAATATCCTCTCCACTCTAATAACACTCAAATGCTAAGTTTCTGTGAATGGCTGTTCTTGATAAATCACTCAGGCAGAGACCATCTAAAGACCTTTACCACTAACTGATATTGCAACTGGGGGAACATCTGGCTCGGCTCCCAACATGCAGCCGCTACAACCCACGAGGTGCTTGTCTTAGTTAACTGGGTTGGTAGCAGTCACTTAAACCTATTAAATTACATGGGTAGTAAGATAGCATAGTTCTCCTGAGATTAATAGAGGAGATTTCTACAGATAGCTTCAAATGCATGACTACAAAAATATTTAAGTAGTGCACAAGACAGAAAAAAAACCTACTCCTTGCTCTCAAACAGCTGTTTTATCTTCTGGAAGAGCACCCCCCCCCCCCCCCCCCAACATCCACACCCACAGAATGGGATAGACACTGAACAGAGAGGAAGCTGTAAAGGACAACAGATCAATGTTACGCCAATAAGACACTGAACATGCAGGCGAGAGCAACACCATTGAGGCAGGTTAGCCTGCTACATTTACACAACAGCAAAGAGGTTTGTTATAAACCATGTATGAATCCCTCCAGGCCATTCACCGCACACCAACAAGCTACTGGCTGAAACTATTAAGACTATAAATATAGAGCAGAGGTTAATTCTGCAAGCAACTATGGTGACTATCATACAAATGGTGGATTGCTATCAAAGCATCAGCCTCTACAACTTATTTACAGTCTCACTACAACATAAATACTTTCTGTAAAGTATAGCAGAATATCTGGCAACGTGTGAAAACAGTCATTTGTAGGATGACTGGCAGTTGTTGTTGGCAGATTGGTTAATGACCAGTCAGCTTAGCAGTGGGCAAGCTGTCTGGAAGGTGAACCTCTGTGCCATCCACTATAGCAAAGGCAAACAGCCTCTCTCTCGGTCTCTCCCTCCCTCAATACTCTCTGCTGACAGAAAAAAAGGGCACATTTTGCTCCTTTCTCGCAAAAATCTTCACATTTTACACAACTATTAGATGACAACCCCACAACATCAGTGACTCTTTGCAGTTTTGCTGATGGACTAAAAGCAATTTCTAAAGCTTCCCATTGCAGTGAAACACAATTGGTGCTGCTGTGTTTCCAGTGCTGACAGTACTGAATGGGGCCTGGCTACAGAGATGCACTTATTCAAATCAACTGCTGATAAAAACTCAGCACAGACGAGAAAAAAGCGCTGTCAAGTAAAAATCAGCTCAGCACACTGTATATTTTATACAAATACAACGCTGCTGTTCTTAAACTAAAAGTTGAACTTTGAACTATTTTGACATCATGAACAGTCTGTATAGCTACATTTTCTGACATTGAAAGAAAACTGCATAAATTATTACTAAACTTCGTGTGGACTGTGCAGATTTAGAAACAGATCAAGCAAATAGCAGACCAACTTTCACCCACAACAAGACCAAAGAAATTTGCAGCATTTGGCATCAGTGTTTAAGAGATAAGTGTGTGCATATCATAATAGTATTACACGTGACAGGTCCCAACCACCGCTACTGTCAAAAACTGCATTGCTCCTCAAAATGGCTGCAATTGAGAGTCCTTTTAAGTCTGTCACAACCTACAACACAATCGCAAACACCTGCATGGAGTGTAAGACGTGTTGAATGCCGTTTTCTAAAATAAATATCAACATCCCACAGGATCAGCTGCAGGACACTTACCAGGCGTGGCTGATCCTAGCTCAAATTAATGGTTTATCCGATCTGAAAACAAGGTTCACGCAAAGTAGCGACAACGTACTCTCCCCCATGAGACTGCCAGAGCAAAGACTAGCATTCATCCCCGTTTTCACTAGACTCTGAATTCATACAACGAGACACAGAAAACACGGCAGCGAGGCACACATGCAAACACGTCGCCTCCTCCTGCGTGCTCCACCCTGATTTTCAAACACCGTGCCAACAACACACGGCGTGAAGCAGCCCACGAGTGTGACAGTAATGATGGGAGCTGCCTCAGCCGAGCATCCATCAAGCAGTGTGACAGCGACCAGAGAGGGGAGAAACGCACCCGGTGACAGGTCACGGGAGCAACTGGGCTGACTGATGTCGAAACACAATAATATCTGCACAATAAACCACACGACGCCTGAACGTCACTCACAACCGCTTCCAAATGCTAACGCCGGGGCTGCACCGCCGGTTAACGACAACAGAACCACACGGTGCGAGCGGTCAGGTGTTTAAACGAGACACAGGCCTAACATTTCCAAGAATAACCCTCTACTTGGAAATGCATTCAAGCATGCTGCAGAGGTTAAGAGACTAGGTTGACAGGCACAGTTACTGCACTTCTAACTACGCTAATTACTTATTACTAACTTAAGGTGGACGCCATAAGCAGCACAGTTGGCACTGATATACCTTATCACTGAAACCTTCTCCAAACTTACTCTACTTGGGCTTACCTGACCACAACGCCAGTCGTTATCATTATCTTATTCCAGGTTATCTTCAGCTAAAGTTAACGTTAGCCAAGTTAGCTCCAGAAACTTAGCTCGCTCATTTAACTTCAATCAAAACCGCACTTTGTATTCCAGCTCAAGTATCTACATTTAACTAAAACAGCAAATAATAACGGCTTAAATGACAGCCAGTGTTCAAGTGCTGTTTGTCGGCACACAAGGACAAACTCCCACTGACAGGGTACCTGCTGCTCCAGTCCAGAGCGGCCTATCCGCCATTTTGAGGCACAGAAAGGAGGTGCACGGACTGCAGCCACATCGTCATTTTCCCCACCTAACGACGGATTCCTTCGACCGTCGCCGGCTTCATAAATGAGAACTGCTCGGACTTACCCTATTGTTCCTGGCCGCGAGTATCCTCAGACGTCTCCGACGGCAACACGACCCGGCAGGGCGTGAAATTTCCGCTCCCAAAACCTGGTCTTATGATGTGGAGGTAAACTGTGGCCGTCTTGTCTCCTGTCGGCTCCGCTCGCTTGTTTTTTTTTTCGTACACTACCGCATTCGACTTCGGCCGGGTACGCGCGCGGAATTCGCGTTCACGCCGTCACAGGAGCGCGCGCGCCCTTGGTCGTTATTTTATTTGCCTGTTAACTCTTAGATTGCGGCTTCTCATTAGTAAATGTCATGAGTGATGTAGAGACTTACTAAACTCCCAGAAGGGCACTTTTTTATTTAGTGCTTTAATTATTTTTTGTACTTTACACGCCAATTCTAGGACATTTCTCAGGTAAATTCCTTTTTTATTACCCCCCATCTTAGTAAGCTTTATAAATAATCTTTTTACTTATAAAACTTGCTGAGTATGAAAATATGTACCATGTTTAAAACTTTTACTTATACTGACAGCAGCTGCTGAAATTAGATTTTTTTTTTCTTTTTGGTGTTGTTACTGGTTCCTCTTTTGTACCAGCTGAGACACAAGTCTGTCAGTTATTTACAAATAGACTGATACCGATCAAGAGCTGATACTGATGTTCCTCAGATACACAGTCAAGAAAGGGTTTTTTTCCCACAGGACCATACATGCAGTTCTGTCAAAGCAGTATTGAGTATTCCTTTCATATGAACGGGAGTAAGTAGTAGCCACTGCCAGATGCTGCTAATCAAATGCACTTGATTAACTGAGCATCTCTATAAAGGCATAAGTATTGGTAGTATTTTAACACAATGCCAAAATCTTCTCAATAGTGGAGGTCCCAGAAAACTCACTCCAAGGTTAGACCTTAGAGCCTTCAAAGAAAAATCAAGAACCCAAGAGCTACAGCTCAGACTCTATGGTTTGCAAGTTAAATGTGAAAGTTAATGCAGTTCGTGCATAATTAAGAAAAGACTGAACAAGTGTGTGTTGTGTTGCCAGAAGAAAGAGACTTCTTTCTAAAAAGATGATGGCAACATGCCTTAGTTTTGCAAAGTTGCATCTGAACACCCACAAGACTTTGGGAACGTCCTTTGGACAGACAAGACAAGCACAACTTAGCACAAACATCTCATATGAGTTTAACAAGCATGCCGGTGGTGGTTTGATGACTTGGGCTTTTTTCCAGAGCTACAGGACCTGGGCACCTTGCAGTTACCGAATTGGCTGTGAAGTTCTCTGAATACCTAAGTAGTCTGTAGAGTCACATGTGAGGCCATCTGTATGACAGCTGAAGCTTCACTTGATGTCATGCAACAGGAGAAAAGAATAAAGGTGTTGCAATGATCTAGTCAAAGTCCAGACCTCAACCTAATTGAAATACTGGGGTGAGCCCACTAAAGAGCTATGTATACATTAGGTGTACTTAGTGTTTCCATGGGACTGCATCGAGCCCTTGAAAACCTTTTCACATCTGCACTGGCTACTTGCTATAAAACCAATTAAAAACATATAAAAAGTTGATAAAAAAAATCCAAACAGATCTTTCACTAGTTTTATTTGAATTCATTTTTAATATAAAAGCATACTCAGACCAAAAAATAATTAGATTATTTATTTTGTAAAGAGCAACACACACAAATACCACACACCATCAGGGGAAGCAGACTCAAACACTAGGCTTAAGAAGTCTTTGTGGAGAAGAGATTTCATCAGCGAGAGAACACAAAACCCTCAAACAGCCAGTGTTTTCACCATCACACAAAGACCGTATTGCAGTATGACCAGGAGCAGTGAAATGCATATTTTACGATAGATATTTGCCTCTTTTTTTTTTTTATAAGATAGTATGAGCTCTTTTTAACTTTAAAAAGCTACTTTGCACAGAGCCCATATGAGCAAGTTCAGTGTTTAATCTTTGAGTATTTGTCCTTTAAACATTCATTCTCCATGACCTGCTTTGCATTTTTTGTTTTACATTCAAATTGCAAAGTTCTGCAAAATATGTGTGAATGAATACACTTCATAGTTTTATATTATTACACTTTGCCCCCCCTCTTCTGGAGATAACCTCAAATAAACATCTACAGCATTCAGGAAAGAACCTACAGCAGAGTCAGACTGATGTCCCCAACTAAAGTGAAAAGCTAAGTGTTGAAAGGGCAGCAGAGCATCTCTGTAGACAGTTTCCTGTCTCTCAGGGAGTTTCATAAACTATCGTAGCATCAGATCATTAAGTGTTCTGCTGCAAACATTTTAGAACACGTTTAACAGCAGGCAGAACTACAAATGTGCTAAAAATTAAAGTTGTCACATCCTTGCTAAATGTCAAAACTTATTGGTATTTTAAAATTAATCAGAATCTCATGTAACGTTTACAGTAATGCAATTTAATGCATTCCCAGTACATCTGGCTATGCTAGAAGAGATGTATGTTTCTAAACGTCCATGAGCATACTTTTCTAAATCAAATACAGCATGTGCATATCTGAACTTGCACCGTGACATTTCCTGTCATGTAGGTCAAACGTTTGTCCTTCACATACAGAAGAATGTTAGAGTGCCACCTTTTGGACAATGTCTGTATTACTGCTGAATGCCACTTGGAGAGTAGGTGGGGAAGAAAATAATACAAGAAAACCAGAAGACATAATCACAAGGCTTATGTCAGCTTTTTGTTGTTTTGTTTTTTTTAAAGCCATCATCCTGCTGGTTTCCATTCAGGATAGAGAACAGGCACATGCTCAGCTGTTGTTGGTTCAGGAGCAATCTGGAAATCACTGTAGTGACCTCATCTCCTGGTGTGAAGAACTCATCTTTCATCGTTTTGTATAAATCATTCTTCCAGTCCAGTAAGAAGGCAGACTTCCAACAAGTAAAATTCTTTTTAAAAAAAAAAAGCATCATCGCTCTATTGCTTTAATCACTCACATCTTTCCATGAGAGGGAAAACATTAAGTTTACAGCAAAAACAAGCCTTTATCAGTCTTTTTTGGTACATCACTGAGGCAGCCCTTCCTTTTCCCCCCACGCCCCCCTCTCTCCTAGTTTTGGTGACGCCGTGTACCTGTCGACACACAGCACAAGAAAGTTAACTAAAACGGCTTACTGCTCGCTCCTGTCTGGGATTCGGCTCCGTTACACATGAAGAAAATAACAAATCACATAACGAGAAAACAAAAATAAAAATAAACAACCAGCAACGATAAGTCTGTCATCACTCCCGATGTCGAGAAGCGATGCAGTTAATTTCAGTACCAATTTCAGTATATCAGCGGATTTTTGGGGCCCAGAACAGAACCCAGTTTACCGTGTGCAGAATTATTAAAGATTTGGAAAGCCAATGTTTTCTCAGCCTCTATTCAAACTATGCGAGGAAAGCCCCGGCCAACAGATTTGAGGTCCAACTACAAAGACGCACACTGTCAAACACACAAACACACATGCACATATTCTTTCACTGTGCAAAAATAGATATTTGAACACAGCTAACTATATATATAGATAGATAAATCTACTGCTTAAGGTGGACGTTTTCTTTTTGTTCAAATCTGTGTTTCCCATACACATCAATCAAGTACTTGTCTAATAGAGATTTATACATCGTTTTTCCATTTCTATACATTTTCTATAAAACAGACATGGCTTTAAATTAACTGATGATGAACAGGCAATAAAATTCCTTCTTACTCCCCCCTGTGCACTTTTACAAAAATAATCCATAAAAAGAAATTAAAAAAAAAAAAAAAAACCAACCTAAATGATTAGTTGTGAGCTCGCTAATCTGTGACTGCGCTGGAGAAACGGGAACCAGAGGATACAGCATGCACCCTCCTGGGATGTCTCAAGTACAAATGACAGAAAGATCAAATTAGTTCATTATTGAGGACACGTGTGAATGATGGGTGCTCGCTGCAAGGAGGCTCAATGAGCCACCAACAAGGGAAGTTTACATTCAGAAGCCCAACTTGAAAAATGGCAAATTTAGTAACTGGTCTTTTCTGGTCTTAGTGCACAGTAGAAAGTACCCCTGAGTTCAAGGACAGGGTAGGATCCACCACGAGTGGGTGGCTACTTGCCCGAGGATCTTCGAGGCTCTTTAGGCAATGACAGGGGCAGAATATGGTCCTGGGCCAACAGTGCTGTGGAAAGTTTGAGCTGAGAAGAAGAATGGCTTGTGTGTGGGGGGAGATTATGGTAGAGTGGATAAGGCTCTGGTATAAAATGTCATGGTCATTCTTGGTCTCCCGCCCCCGGCTGAAACCCTCGTTTCATATTCATCAATTCTAACACAGCTAACACGCTCTAGGGCTTCATCACCAGGTTCTTGGGATTTTCAGATTGCACGGTACAGTGGTTTTACATTGTTTGTACTTTCTCCTCCCCTCTATCCCTACTTTGTAGGAAATTCCTGCTCAGTATTCCTTTCTCCTACAGTTCATCAGTCTGTGTCTGGACTACCCTGACCCCTCCCCTTCCTCTTTTTTATTTATTTATATTTTTTTCATTTATTTATGTTGATTTAGACTGCTCGGCTTTCGGGTCCACAGGCTTTGTGACTCATCCATCACAGCCCGTCTTTCTCTCCCATAGCAGAAAATAGCTGTGTTGGCCACTACTCAATATTAATCGATGGGAATTTTGTCTTCCAATTCCAGTGAGCGGTCCTCAGCAGGCTCCTCGCTCTTTCCCAGCTCCTGCAGCTGCTGCCGCCTCTGCACCTCTGCCTTCAGGTTCTCCAGATCCTTTGGGCTGGGGAAAAAAAAAAAGAAGAAAAATCAACACACAACTCC